TAATTAGTATTACTAACCAACCAAACTAATAAATAAGTAGTAGTATATACACACACACACACACACACACACACACACACACACACACACACACACAAATGAACCCATATCAAAACTGTGTAGGTTAGCAAATGAAACCTTGCTCTGTTAAAGAATTTCCAACAAGGATAAATTTTTTATTCCTCTTATGCTTTTTTTTTACATTAATTTACGTAAAATATCAGAAATAATATATTATAAAGTATATTTTTGTTAGCCATTTTGTTCTCTGCATAAATCATCATTGGATTATACATTATATTTTGAGATTTTCTGTGCTCCCAAGTAAAAAAAATTTGAAATTCTCGTTGGTAATATGATTGTTTATTTGAAAGTTTATAGAAAGCTTCAGAATCATTTAATAATATGATGCTTTTTTTCTTCTATTATCCTAAGTAAAAGACGTGCCTTATTTGAAACTACTAATATTTTTATTTTTTTTTACAAACTTTAGTTTCTGATAGCAGTAAATGAACAAAACAGTTTATTAATCGCACATAACTATACAATTGGGTGCCTTTCTTTACCTGAGGTGTAAAATGTAAGTAATGTTTACACTGTGTGTTATATATTATTCATAATTCAAGAAAGAAGTCAAACCAAACTGCACAGGTAATACAGCGACTTACATTCTCCTTGTCATGCTGGATTTTGATAAGGATTTGATTGAAAAATTATTTTATAATTCGTAGCTTGATTGATCGTAATATTGTTTTATATTGTAGTAAAGCTGTTATCTTATGGTATTGATTTTGACATATGTTTCTTATTATTTAGTTTAGAATCAGTAGTTTTTTGTTTGTTTTTTTAATCTTAGATATCCTGCTTTTTAAAAAGTTGTAGCAATAAGTTAATTAATATACTTAATATTAGAGGGTGCACTTTTTGAAGCTGTTCTGTACTTATACCATGTAAACTTGTAATATATTCCTTATATATTTTTGTATGATAATGTAAGAAAAAAATGTACGATTAGTATGAAAATATATTAATCAGTGTTGCATAAGTTTAGATTAAAGGTTACATTGTATTAGAATAATTCTATAGAAGTGTGTAGACTTAATAATATAAAGTTTTTTTTTTTTGTTTATTAAAACAGGGACCACAAAGTGGCAAATGCATTGTATAGTATGTACCATCTATTAATAGAGTTGTCTGAAAAAAAAAACGGCCAAATTGTTATTGGATAATGAAATGAAATGTTGTGTTCCTTTCCCACAATCTTGTCCCTTTGTTGTGTACACATAATAGAGAAAAATCCTGAGACATGAGTGTTTGGTATGTTACATTTTGTGTGCTTTTTCTTATATGTATATTGCTGCCAAGTGGTAGAGCAAAGTGGTTATGTTAAGCTAAATATGATTATATGTATGAATAAATTACTATTTTGCATCATTATTGAAATATCCTATATCCTCTTTTTTTTTTAATATCACAAGATATCTGGGAAAATAAAGTTGCAGCAATTTTCTCTAGTGATATTTAAAAGCCATAAATATAAAAAAACATACTTGTTATAGTTCTTTTAAACGTAAGCACTTATGAGCTACATTCATTAAAACATATTCAACTGACTGTTGTATGACTGAGCTAATTTAGCAAAAAAACTTCTTTAAGAAAAAAATATATGGGATTCTAAAAACTGTATACAATCACTGAAGCTTACTTCGTTGACTTTTTAAAAATTTAGTTTGGATGTAGAGATTATTTGAACTTTATACAACCATCAGATGTTGATTGGATGACTTATTGTTTTTTGAAATCTTATCGCTCATAATTTCAGTTGAGCACGTGTAAAAATAAATTTTGGGTCAAGAATTTGAAAATGCTGAACAACAAAATGATGGCAGCAACAACGAATATTATACACGTGTGTACAGTAACAAACAATTATTGAATGTTTGGGATATACATATTCCATCTTCAGCAAACTATATTGAACAGGGTAGATTATCAGGCACAAATATTTATGAAGTTTAAATATTTTATGAAAGTAATTTAAATACAAAATAAAAGGATGAAATAAATTAAAAGACAACCATATAAACAAAGGATAGGATAATGCAACCAATATTATACAAGTATTCAGAACAGACTTAATTGTATTAAAGTTGTGTTCATTTATAATAGATAAACTTTATTTAATTAAGTTCAATATTGGATGATCCAGATGAGGTGACTTTGAAATTCGTAATCAAGACTGGGTGGTTGGTGGTTTCAAAATTTGTGCGAATTGTGGATTTGATAGTTTTTTTTTACCAGTTCTGCTTGATACTCCCGTATGTTCGCAGGTGTAATTAGCGTATAGTTTTGTCAATGTAGTGCCATTACAGCCACCACGTGTGTATTTATATACGATCCTGGAACGCATATGGGTAGGTAATAGGTGTTTAGATCTGAATAGACTTTGTATTTTGAAAGGTGATTTAAATATCATTTGTAGTTGAACTTGTGGATAAAACGTTTTAATTGTTCTTAAAATTTGTGACTTCACAATGTAACTGCTCACATAAAAAAGGAACGACCAATCTTAATGGGTATTTATCAACAGTGTATGGTTTCTTTGAGGGTTCAGATTGTTGTGACCATATTTAAACATTATCTTGGATCATTCCCATTTGGTGTCACCTGAGCTTTATCGTTGGAATAACTGCTATAGATATGCATAATTGAAATATACTGCAAATATAGACTGATCTTAACTATTGGTAAGTCTTATGGTACCTGAAAGATATATATAATTTATGTTTTGCTTTTGAGGTGACCACCAATGATGTGGGTACCATATGTATGCTTGGAGAGATTATGCTGTTGTATTATGAATGCAGTCCTTGCATTTTCTCAGTCTGGGCAGTATTACTGGGTACCTTGAAAACAAAACGGAGAATTCGGTACTCTTGTTCTGTGACTGGAAGTCGTTGTCTGATCATCTAGTTCACTCTGTAAATAAAGATTACCTTGCACTTTTTTATGTTTTGTACAGTCTCTGACCTACTTCAAACTCCGTCAGAAACTCGCATTTGCTCCATGGTGCATTTTCTTTTGATCATCTTATTTGCAGTTGATACTCTCACCTGAATGGAAAATCAGTTGTTCTAGGAACCTATCGGTGAAAGCAAAGGAAAGTACGGCGGCCACACTACATCTGCCATAACCAGTGCTGATGAGGCCTTTATTCAATACCAGGATTCATAAGAACTGCTTGGATACAACAGACATAATAGTGGTATTGGGGCTATATATAATCAAAATTCATGGAAAACAATTGTCATTGCATGAACCAGATTAAGCAAGTTAATTGCACTTATTATTCTTATTAAAGTAATTTACAAACCATCTTTTTAGGTAAGAATTAATAACACGACATTATTTTGTTTATAACACTGCTTATTTATTATTTTATTTGAATTAACATGACTATCATTTACAAGATTAACACACAAGAGTGGCAGCCCCAAACCATTACTTTACATCTACCA